TTGCCATCTTTATTTTTTCACTATGTATTTAATTTATATAATCATTCAGTTAATTAACATTCACATTCATTTAATTAATATTTATCTTCATTTATACATTTTAGCGTTATTAATTCTAATTATAAATTAATTAGAATTTCACATTTAAAAATGCATTTCATTATTCATGTCCATATACGTTAATTAACATCTAATTTTACTTTACTGAAAATTAAATAAATGATTTAACATTCATTGTCACCTACATATTCCACTGTATTAATTCTTAATTAATTAACATTCAACATATTGAAATATTACTTTTATAGCACTTACAAAATATTCCATAATAACACGCAACGCACGTTCAACGTTGACAAGTGGTTTATAAATAGGAATATTAATTATATAGCATAGAAAAGTGAAGTGTTATTAACAAGATTTTATTCTCGTGAATATAATAGATCAGTTTCCTATAGTTGGGTGAGAAGTTGGTAGATATATTTATTATAAAACAATATAGTTCTAGTAGTGGGGACTGCTAGTCAGCTATTAATTTAGTTTCGGTGCTAAAGTGAAAAAAATGTTTGTGTTTGATTTAAAGTGTACCTTGTCCGTTATGGTTCTCGCGAAGCACGAGTCAATGTTCCCAAATTGCATCAATGCAGACATTTGGTATCAAGAATTAATCTACTTGTACAATGAATTTGTCAATGTGTGATGTGTAAAGATCATTGTCATTGGTTTCAAATAGTTTTTCAATTCAATGGACAAGATACGTGTACATCGTCAAAGTAGTAATACATGTTGCATGATTCTAGTACCAAATTGACGAAAAAATAGTGTACCAAAGAGGTAAAAACGTGTGACAAAATGTAATCAAAATATAATATACTGTCACCAAAATGTAATGAAACAACAATAAAATTTAGAGCCTGTTTGGTACAGATTCTCATTTTCTACAGTAAATCAATTTTCATTTTCAACCACACATTATTCAATAAAATAATATTTTCCATCACATCAATAATTTTTTCTTTTTTTTTTATCCACACTTTTCCCATCATATCACTATTCAAAAATCAATTGTTCCCCAAAAAATCCATTTTCTACAGTAAATCAATTTTCATTTTCAACCACACATTCTTCAATAAAATAATATTTTCCATCACATCAATACTTTTTTCTTCTTTTTCAACCACACATTTCCCATCATATCACTATTCAAAAATCAATTCTTCTCTCAAAAATCTCTACCAAACACACTCTTAGTACCAAAATAAATAATGCAATTCTATGCAATGCAATATGTTGAAATCTAAAAGATTGTGTTAGTACCACATATTGATAATAGTGGTTGACACTTTCACCCTTTTATTTTTCTCTTTATTGAAGTTCAGGAAACATGACTGTCTCAAAAAAGTAATTGGTTCACATTTTCGAATAGAGAACATGAATTAGATTTTGATGTCATTCTCAGCAAACCTCAAACAGTAGCTCCGGAATATGGCCTATTAGCCCATGGCCAAAGTCACTTTTGGTCTTTATTTGAGGCCCAATTGCATGTGTCTTGCCCACCAAGTACAGGCCCAACCATGTACACATAGGACTAGGGGAAATTTTCCTTGAAACGCACAGTTAAAAGACTAATTATCACATAATAGGAGAATTAGTTTAAGATTCACATACCAGGTTACAATTAGATTTTAATAATTATAATTAATAAAAATTTAATTAAACATGATCTACTCCACCCCTACCTGTCCCAACCAATTTCATTTTCTAATTTTTCTCTCTCTCCTCCTCTCTTTCTTCTGTCTTTATTACCCACCACCCCCTTTTTAACGCTACATTTTTCGTCGTCGCAATGCCTCTTCCTTCTCTCTCTTTATCACTCACCCCTTTCTAACGTCCCAATTTTTTGGCCTCTCTCCGCCGCGTGCAGCGGTGAACCACTACGTATAGCGACGATATTTGCTTGCCCTGAGACGTCTTGCTTTGCAGGCAACAGCGAGTGCTTCTCGCAGCAGTGGTAGCTTCTCACCCCATCCACCCACTTTCTAACACCCGTTTTCCGACGTAAGGGCGAACCACTTTGTTGCATCGATGATTTCTGCGTGCTGTGAGCCGTAGCTGCTGCAGCCCATCCCCTTTCTAACCCCCACATTTTCCTGCGCAGCGGGAACCACTGCGTGTAGCGGCCAGTGAAGAGGTTTGCTCGCAGCAAGCGGCCGCTGCTTCAGGGGTGAGTGTTGGCATTTTTGTTGAGCTGCTTGTAATTGATTTGGTAGGTGGTTGTTTGATGTGGTGGTGTAGGAGGTTGTTTGATCAGATATGGTGGGTGGTTGTTTTACCAGATCCGTTGTTTAGCCAGAGTTTTGGGATGATTGATGTTTCGCAAATGGTGTCGATGATTTCATAATATGTGGAGTTTTTATGTTGTTGTTGGTGGTGGAGAGGCGACGATGTTTCTGCTAGTGGTGGTGGTGCATGTGGTCGTGGTGAGGTGGTGTGCATTGGTTCTCGACGTTGTTTGGAGTGACGACGGTGACGAAACCGGATGTGACCAAGTTTATCTTTATTGTGACTGTTTATGACCACATCTATATTAAATGTGATTGTATGTGACTTGTTTACATACAATCAGAAGTTAGACGACATGATCACAGACAGTTACATTGAAGACAAATTTGATCATGGTTAGTCACAGTTAACACGTCAGTGAAGATAGTATTTATGATCGTGATTTTGAGTTGAAAGTGGTAGGTAGGGTAGGGTAAGGGTTGGTAGGGATGGTTCCAGCGTGGGGTTAATCTGCAAAAAAAAGTTTTCAATTTTTGAAAAATTTGGTAGGGAGAATATTATTAATTGGAATATT